AACTTCCTTCTGAGGGCCGGGGCTGGCACACAGAGGCAGAGTGCTGGCCTAGCATGAGCAAGACTAGATTTCATACCCCGATTTGGGGACTGGTGGGGGGGTGGTAAGGAGGAGGATGTGGATGGTCAATGGTCATAAGGAAACAGAAGAACAGAAAAGAGGGTGGGAGGAGGAATATGAAATGAGGACAAGTAGCTGGAAATGAACAAAGGAATAAGGAAATGAGGAAGAGGTTAAATATAAAAAGTGGAGTGTTTTTCAGGAATATCCTTGTTAATTAGGTCATGAACCTGAGCCAAGTGTACCAAAGGCATAATTTGATTAAGGGCTGATAAAGTCAATCCAATTAGTGATCAGAGACTGCTATCTTAAACTAAGCTTTTACTTTTAAGTACTTATAAGTTTCCTTTAGATCTTTCCTTTGGAATTTGAAATTTTCTCCTTAATATTAGTCAGTATTCCCCACAAAGTTGAATGTTATCTGAAGAAAATTCCCAAAAGCTCATTCAGAGTTTTTAGAGCAGAAGAGAGTACATGTTCCACACTTTTAAAGATAATTTTCAGACTTTGGTTCCAGTTAAATAACTTCAAAATGGTTAGTGTAGTACAGAAATATCCAAAAGAAATCCATATTTTGGATTATTTATTTCAAGACAGTTCAAAACTTAATGAGCAATACTGGAATTCTGAATTACTGGTAAAGGATCTCTGGCTGGCCCACTATCGTCTGTGACTATAGAAAGAACTTATAGGTAGGAGAGAGAGTTCAATTTCTTCCTGAAAATAAAGAGTTTTCATTCTATTCCCATGCTCTTGGATGCCTGAAAGCTATTCTTGCTTTTTCTCTGCAAGTGTCTCTAATTTTGTAGACAACACTGTAGGAAGGGGAAAGAAAAGGTGGTCTAGAAGGGCAAAGGATCTGGCCCTGAGGGATCTTGTCCTGGACCTTACTCTTTGTTATAATGCAAACCAGATCAACTGGTGAAGCCAACAGAACAATGGTTTTATCAAGTTCTTATTTCTCCTTTTACTTTATGGTTTGGACAACTCTAAGAATAAGGTTTGAAGGATAAATGTTTATGAGAATCAATGTTGGGAAATCCATCTTGGTCAAAGGCAGGCCTGGGTTGGGAGGAACTACCTAGCAATTTTATCAAAACTATAACAATTCATCAAGACTCTTTCAAGAAGCTCAAATTTTTATAAAATAGAGGAGATTAAAGTCTCAGTCTTTGCAATTCTACAAAGAGCATAGTCTGGAAGCATAGTCTGAAGCAATGTCTGAGACAGCATCTTTGAATTAGTGCTCAAATATTCATGAAACAAAGAGCCAGAAAAATAAAGACTAAAAGGTAGTGTTTGGATATATAATTATAAACTGAAATATGTGATGTGGATGCTTTGTGTACTCTGGGTTTTCAGTTACATAAAATAACAAAGCCATGAAAGGGACATAGCAGAAAGTTGGATCCATGCTGGTATACTGTCAGAGAAAAATAAGACAGAAAGGGAATACACAAATCAACACGGCTCTACCATACTCTAGCCCACTTCTTGACAGAATATTTCTTTCTTTAGAGGCAAAAGAGTCAGGAAGAAATTCATTCCCCTAACACTAGGAAGGCTGAAAATCTGGACAGACAAAAGCAGAATTATGTAAAACTGTAAAGATGAACACATTAAGTTTTGAAAATATCAAAAGCAAAAGCAAAATTCTAAACTACTTCCTTAGCGGCTTTTGCTTATGGGCTCCACAGATCCCCCCAGGGACATAAAGAAAAAGCCATGAGAATCCACTCCCAGGTTTTTCCTCATGATTATATACCAAAGGAGGCACAACAAAATCTGCTCTGTCAGAGAAAAATAAGACAGAAAGGGAATACACAAATCAACACGGCTCTACGATACTCTAGCCCACTTCTTGACAGAATATTTCTTTCTTCAGAGGCAAAAGAGACAGGAAGAAATTCATAAGAACATCAGATTTCAAAACCAAGAACAAAACCTCTTGGGAGTCTATTTCAGTTTTGTCTCACTCAAATCAGAGAATTTGGGGAATCTAGAATTTTATAACTCTTAATATTCTTAATGAATTAATAACAACATTTTCATATATTAGTATACGTGAGGGAAAAAGGATCATTTAACCATATTCCAATATTAACAAATATTTTTGATAATGTCACCTAATTACCAACAATGCTGGCTGTGGCTAATATGGACAGAATAAATGATGAGTAATCCTTTTTTATTATGCCGAAAATCATCTCTAATCCTACCATCAGGTCTGTTGTGATTTCTAAGGAAAGAACACCATACAGGTGTGACTTTTATCTCATGGAATTACAATGGAGACTTTCAAAACATTCACAAATGATTAGCGAAAAAAAATGATAGTTTTATTATTTTAATTATTTTAGTCTATTACATAATGTAAAAATCACCTTAAAAATCAAAGGAACTGGGACAATATTTTTTGGCATACTTAACAATGCCATTGCCTTTAATTAACATACATTAAGGTGAACATTAATATTTTATATATTTCTATATAAAATCTGACCTCTTTAATAATGTTAGGTGAAAAATTGGATAAATGACCGGTAATGTCAAGATAATTAAAGAACTGTATTTAAGTACTAGACTTAGCTAATAAATAATCTAAAGAATCTACCATCTCTTCTGTTTAGCTAATTTTAATGTGGTAAGTCAATTACGATTAAATCACAACATGTATTTCTTCATGGATACAATTCATTTATTTTGTACAAAATATGTACTAATAAACACTTTCTCTAGCTATAATATAAACATAAAAAATAAAATTTTATGTACTTCTTACATCTTCTGTCTAGTTCACACACATAAATTTTATTTTACTGGGTAGCAAACTAAAGGTTGATGACCTATAAAACAAGAGCTTTCCTTCCCCCATATGCTGTATTCTGACAAAAAGCATGTCTCCTTTTTAATGCTGTTTAGACAAAGTTAATGTTCTCCTCCCATTTTCATATCTCTTTAGATACTCTGGTAGCCATAACATAGTAGGCAAGATGTCAAAATGGTTTTTGTCTTGATCCAACATACAAAGAAATATAAAATTCTATAATATGTCTGCTTTCAGAATATGCAACATATTCAAAACACAACATCCAAGGATTACAGAACAACAAATGGGCACAGAAATAAGGACAGAAAACAGAGATGTCATAGTTAAAATTCTAATAGCAACTACCTAACATATTTTGATAACTGACGTATCTTAGCATGCTTTTAAGCACTTTGCTTTTTACCTATAGGGGGACAATTAGCTAATAAATAAGCTTCATTCTTAAAAACAATCTCTCTGGTTGACTCAGCCAGGAATGATGCATGAATAGGTAATTCAGTTCTATATGAGATATTAATTCATGGGAACATTATCAATCCCACAACAAAAGAAATGCTATAGAGAAATGGATTTTTTAATAGAATTTTTAAGACCTGCAGAAAAATAAACAAAAATATATTTTAAAACTTAAAAAGTTAGGAATTATTGTATATCTAAAAACACAGGTAAATGGATGGAGTTAGAGAAGATAATGCTAAGTGAAGTTAGCCAATTTCCCCTCCCGCCCCACCACAAAATGCCAAATGTTTCTCTGATATAAGGAGGCTGATTCATAGTCTCATAGTGGGGTAGAGAGAGGGAGCATGGGAAGAATAGACGAACGAACTCTAGATAGGGCACAGGGGTGGGGAGGGGAAGAGAGGGGGCATGGGATTGGAAATGATGGTGAAATGTGATGGACATTATTATCCAAGGTACATGTATGAATACACGAATTGGTGTGAATATACTGTTTATATAACCAGAGATATGAAAAGTTGTGCTCTATATGTGTAATAAGAATTATAATGCATTCCGTTGTCATATATAAATAAAAAATTAACTTAAAAAAGTATATTTTAATAATGCCAGATCTTAATTACCTACTGAATATATCTACTTCTTTTACCATATTAGATAGATATTTAATATTCATTGTCATTTCAGACTGCAAACACTGCCTCTGATGGGACTATCAAGACATCTTTTCTCACACACACATACACACACACACACACACACACACACACACACACACACACA